AGGCAAAAATATGTGTGTTGACACGTGCACTGACCAGCAGTGCCCACAGCGTCATGGATGAGACATGGGACAAATTCACACGGACTTCCGAGTCCTGTGGAGGAAAAGGGCCGGCTCGGCTCCTCCCTCAATGGGGGAGAGCCTCAGAACGGCCTGGCCGCCCTCTCAAGGGGAGAGAGAGCACACTGACCCTTACCTAGACAGCCTTTTATTGTTTTTTTTGTTTTTATGTTTTGTTTTGTTTTTTTGCGTAGGAGTTCAGGTGCAATTTATTAAGCATTGTCAGGCAGTAAACAGTAGGGAGTATGCAAAGAACCATTAGGGCTTCTAAATCAGGGTCTGTCAGCTAAAAGGCTTTGGGAACAGAACTTTGGGAACATAAACTCTTTTTTGCTCAGGCCTTTATCATTTAACTAGAAGCATTCTCAGCAAAGCAGGTCTCACAGGATTGTTAAGAATTCTTTATCTTGCCAGATTCCCCGGGCCCTGCGCTAGCTGGTGAAAGGTTACACTGTCTTCCCTGTCACAGGTATTCAGGCTTAAGTGGATTAGAGCCAGGAAGGGCTTCTCCTAGAGAACATGGGGACTTGGGCTTCATCAAAGCCAGAAGGAGGTCTATCACTCCTCCTTTGTCGCAGCCCCTTGAGTCCTTCCATGCTGGCCTCCCAAGTGATCATATCTGGCCCAGGTTATCCTTCCTCTGAGGTGTGTCACCTGTCTCTGACCATCCAACCATACTTTGGGGGCAGGGAGATGAAGCAGAAGCAGCGTTTGCTGCCAGAGACAAGCTTTGTCTCTTTTGTGGCTCACATTCCAGGGGTCTCTCACTCAGTCTAAGACGTGAGAGACAGTTTACAATTCCTGAAACCAGGCAGAGCAGTTCCCAATAGAGTGTGTGTGTGTGTGTGTGTGTGTGTGTGTGTGTGTGTGTGTGTGTGTGTGTTCGGAGAGAGAGAGAGAGAGAGAGAGCGAATGAGTATATGCAGGGATTATAATGTAGAGTCCAGAGGAGGAGCAGGGCCTTAACCCTGAATTCCTCTTTGGTCACGTGGAGTTGGAAGTAGAAACCACCTGTTCTCTGGTGCCAGCTTCTTCCTAGCCACCTCCTCCATTCTCTATCTGATGTTTTCATTCCCTTCCTTTCTTTAGCACGGGGAAGTTTCTCTCAAGCTAAACCCCTCCTGTTCAAGATAAATTTCTAGCATGAAAGATTTCTCTTATTCCATAGCCTTCGTGCTCAGAATGAATTCCATCTGGCCAATATGCCTCCTTTTCCTGATTCAGAGGTTTCTTTAAAATCATGTTTCTTCTATGGAGCATCTAATGATAAATTGGTACCTTTTGTCTTATCATTGCCTAAAACTCTATTATTTGTGTGTCCTTCATTCCTCCTCCCTGAACTGAAAGCCTCATGAGGACAGGGATACTAGTTCACCCGCCACTATATTCCTGTTACCCAAGGACAGTGCCCAGAGCCTGTTTCTGGCAGGTGCTCAGTGAAGATCTGAATGGAAGGAAGGAAAGAAGGAAGGGAGGGAGGGAGGCAGGGAGGGAGGGAGGGAGGGAGGGAGGGAGGGAGGGAGGAAGGAAGGAAGGAAGGAAGGAAGGAAGGAAGGAAGGAAGGAAGGAAGGAAGGAAGGAAGGAAGGAAGGAAGGAAGGAATATCCTTCTCATAAACTCCTCTAGAACACTGACAGTGTATGGTAGTGCACACAGATTTTTGTTAAATGAGTTGGTGGTTAGCCTGTCAGTCAGAGCCCCATCGTATAGCATCTGAAAAGCACTGCCTGTGGTTCTCCACTTTAGAACTCGCTGTGATTACACAGAAGCCACACAGAGCTTTCTATATTCTAAGTACTTTGGCCAGTAGAGGAAACTTTGCTTTCTGTCAGAGACTTAGCAGAGTGACTGAGAGATTTAGCTGTAGAGCCCAGTGTCTGGTTCAAATCTCCCTGGGTGTACGGCTCAGGCAGTTAACGGTCTTTTATATGCTCCAGTTTATGCATCTATACAGGGAGGCTAGCAGTAGCATGTGTATTGTAGGGTTGATTAAGGATTAAATGAGTTTCTCTAGAGTTGGCAGAATAGTGGTGATGATGGTGGTGGTAGGATTTCACCAATAATGCTGTAGGATGAGTATTTTTGTACTTTATTTTTAATCTGATCATTCTATTTTACTATTTTTCATCATTGCTTTCTTAAAATGTAAGAATCTAGTCATTGCTTAGAAATACTCTTACCATTTGAAATATTCACATTCAGTAATTTTTTTAAAAAATACTATATTTTTTGTGTATAATGTGCACCCATGTTTTTGTGTGCATTATACATGGGATTATTCTACCCATGACATATAATCACTGTACCCATGTATACTGTGCATCTTTATTTTCCTCTAAAAATTTAGACAAAAAAGTGCACATTATACAGAGCAAAATATAGTAGCTTGTTAAGAGATACAGTTTGATTCATTGCATTAGTTGTTTCTATTATTGTCTAAAGTTTATTTTAATGGGGACACTGAGTAAGTTTTTAATCCCCAGGGTCTATGTAAAATAAATGTCTTGTATTTGGAGTATTTCTATAAGACCATTCTTCATATTTGAATGTTCATCACGTTTTCTGGTGAAAGAGATAATGTTATTATAAAATCTCACTGAACTACCATCATGGAAGGGATTATCTTGCAAGGCTATTTTGTTGAATTTTTAGATTAGTTTACATATAACTTAATTGTGCTTCACTGTCCCTTCGTTTTTTTGTTGTTTTTTTTTTAATATGGTGAATCCATAAATGCCAGATTCAAAGTTTCTTTCAGGAAGAATTATTTTTAGGTCAGTGTTAAGAACAGAGAGGGAGGAAAGGAGAGAGTAACAAAGAATAAAAATAAAAGCTGTTAATTGTACTCCACACACATAATTGATGACTTTTACAGTAATCTGTGCATAGAGGGAAATACAAACAAAATTGAAGCATAATCAGTCTATGACCTAATTTTGTATTTTTTTGTTTTTTTGTTATCACTAAAATATTAATAACAGAAATACTATTCATAGTTTCCTAGTAGTCTAAATTTTTTTTCTTTTTTTCTTTTTTTCTTCTGCTCTTTTGTCTTAAAAGGGCACTTAGGGGGAAAAAGAACCTTGGGCAGGATCTTAACACAAAAGATTATAAAAACAGTAGACAGGTTGTCTGAGAATTTTGTCATTTGTTTTTTAATGGGTCATGTGGAGTATGGGTGTGTCCATGAAGGAACTTCTGTTCTGTGTAAATGACTTGACCTACTTTAAGTCCATTGGGACTCTCTGGCCTCCCCGGGCCCAGGAACTTCCAGGTTTGGGAGTTGGCTTTTATGTTGGTGATGTCATTTCATTTTAATTCTAAACACACAAGTCATTTTTTTAATAAAAAGCTAAACATATGGTTGGTAAATGAATAACAAAGGCTTTCTTGGGTCATATGGGTAATAACACGGGAAAATGACAGATGTAGAAGAAAGAAATAGAGAGTACCTTTTTTCTTTCTTATCTTGTTTATTTATTTCATTGTTGACACTATTACAAATGTCCGCCATTTACCCTTCTTTGCCCACTTCTACTATACCCCCATCCCCCTGGCCTTTACCACGCTACTGTCTGTGTCCATGGGCTATGCATAATGTTTCTTGGCTTCCTTTACCTTCTTTCATCAGTCACTCCCCCACCCCCCTCCCCTCTGAGATCTGTCCACCTGGTCCCTGTATCCATGCCTCTGTTTCTATTTTGTTTGTTAGGTTCCGTTAGATGAGTGAGAGTGAGATCATATGGTATTTGTCTTTCTCTGACTGGCTTATTTAAATTAGGATAATAAAGAGTACTTTTTAAAAAGCTGGTGAAGGAAATGGACATACAAGTCCATGAAGCTCAGAGAATCCCAAACAAGTTGGGCCCAAAGAGGAATACACCAAGACATCATAATTAAATTGCCAAAGGTTAAAGATAGGAGAGAATCTTAAAATCAGCAAGAGAAGAGAAGAAAGTTACCTACAAAGGAGTTCCCATAAGACAGTCAGCTGATTTCTCAAAAGAAACCTTGCAGGCAAGAAGAAGCTGAAAAGAAGTATTCAAAGTCATGAAAAGCAAGGACCTACATCCAAGATTACTCTATTCAGCAAAGCTATCATTTAGAATGGAAAGGCAGCTAAAGTGCTTCCCAGATAAGGTCAAGTTGAAGGAGCTTGTCATCACCAAGCCCTTATTATATTAAATGATGAAGGGACTTATGTAAGAAAAAGAAGAAGAGCAAAACTATGAACAGTAAAAGGATGACAAACTCACAACTATCAGCAATGGAATCTAAAAAAACAAAAACAAACTAAGCAAACACCCACAACAGGAAGAGAATCACAGAAATGGAGATCATATGGAGGGTAATTGGTGGGGAGGGGGAGGGTGGAGAAATGGGGGAAAGTCACAGAGAATAAGAAACAAATGGTAGATAGAAAATAGACAGGGGGAGGTTAAGAATAGCATAGGAAATGTAGAAGCCAAAGAGCTTATATGTACTACCCATGGACATGAACTAAGGTGGGGAATGCTGGAGGGAATGGAGGTACTAGGTGGAGGGGGATAAAGGGAAGGGAGGCATGGGACAACTGTAATAGCATAATCAATAAAATATACTAAAAAAAGGCAAGGTACTTGGCTTGGAAGAAGTGCAGGGATGAATCAAAGACTTAAAATAGATACCATAAAACTAAGTTATTTAAATAAAAGAATAAAAGGAAGAAGACAATTAGTGTACATAGTCTATTTTGATCTTTTCATGGCCTGTCAGTGTCATTTGTTGTGCTTACTTTTAGCTGAAAAGATGTTGGTTGCAGTCTACAACTTTGCTGCATGGTGTGGTAGCAGCGGTCTCTGGTACTTAAATGCAGGGCCTGACTTGTGTGTGGGGGTGTGAGGGGACTATTATGATTATCGGGAGCCTTTCAGCAAAACAGTCTTTCTTGTGATTTCCAGATTTTCACCTGATGGAAGACTAATCGTATCATGTAGTGAGGATAAAACTATTAAAATTTGGGATACCACAAGTAAGCAGTGTGTGAGTAACTTCACAGATTCTGTAGGGTAAGTCATTCTATTTGTGCATTTGTATGAGGTAGTTTGCTAAGGATACATTTAATTACTACAGTTTAAATAAAAAATCAAAATATGAGACCATCTTAATTTTCCTCCTAGGTTTGCAAATTTTGTGGATTTTAACCCTAATGGTACTTGCATAGCTTCAGCAGGTTCCGATCATACTGTGAAAATCTGGGATATAAGAGTGAACAAATTACTCCAGCATTATCAAGGTACAACTTTGTAGCAGAAGGATGCGGTTGTAGAGTGGACTCTTCTGGGAAACTCTTAAACTGATAGACTGTCCTCAGTGTGGTCTGGCCCTCTTAATAAGAGTCATGGGCTACCTTTGAATTGACTAAGGAACAGTTAGCTTCCATCAACAACATGGTCTAAAAAGCTGGGGTAGAAGCCAGAGTGGAGAGGAAGGTGGAAGAACCTTAAAAATGATGCCAGGACTGTAAAAAATGAAAGGAAAAAAAGAAAAGAAATTACTGTGAGATTTTAAAACTCTGGTTATTTGGGATAGAAATTGGCACAAATACTTGTTATAATTGGTAGAAAACAATAACATCCTACTGTGCCTATACTTTGAAGTTAGAAGAGAAATGAATCAATTTCTTGGTTTATGTTGGATTTATGTTAAATCCATATTTCTCTTAATAACTGTAATATTAACCATGTAGCTGACACTGCTAAATCCTCACAAAAGCCCTAAGAGGTGGCATTATTATTACTCCCATGTTAAAGATAAGGAATTTGAGGCTTAAAGAGGATAAGTGACTTGCTAAAAAGGATTCACAGAACTGTCTTGGGTCTGTTTACAAACTTTCCATCACTGTGTTATACTGCCTCCTATCGGTGGGGTGGTGTCCAGAAATGAATTCTCAAACTGGGAAGACTGCGCCTCCAAATACATATTCATACTCTTCACCCCTTAGCACCAAGCCACTAATTGATTATTAAATTTAGCTTAAACTAGGTTGTATACTTTATGTGAGCCGGTGGTAATCAACTATTGGCTATATCGGTAATGTATCTGAAGACTTTTTAGTTTTATAGTGAACAAGATCATCTTTCCATGCTACATTCTCACTTTGGAAGCTGTTCTCTTTCATTAGCTGTGTGGTGCCCAACTCTTTATTTGTTTTGGTGTTGTGGAAACATTACCTCTATAACAGATTCTTGTTTGCAGCCTAGTATTGCTAATAGGGCAGAGTGGTATCTTTAGAATTAAGAATTGTTCTCTAAATTTTTTGCTTTATTTTCTACAAATCAGTTCACAGCTGTGGAGTTAATTGTGTATCATTCCATCCTTCGGGTAACTACCTCATCACTGCTTCTTCCGATGCTACACTTAAGATTCTGGACCTACTAGAAGGAAGGCTCATATATACACTCCAAGGACATACGGTACTAGCACTAAGATTTTTTACTTTTATAATTATATATATTTAAATTTGTGATCCATTTTATTAAATGCCTTTGTTATCTTTCCAAGCGTAGGACACATTGCCGCTATCATAAGAAGTATTTTTGCTTCCAAGGCAATGTTTTTGTCCTTTGCAAGCAACTCTTAGAAGTATCATTTATTGTAGTTTTTATCAAAATCAGTGTGTATCTTTTATTAGCTCTTAAATTAGTCCTTCATTACCATCTTCATCAGCATGTAGTTTAGGTTTAATTGCTTAAGTGGTGGTAGATAACTTTTGTCCCTACTTCTCATCTTCCTTCTCCTGTGGAGGCTGCCCCACTAACTCTGACCCTCTGAGCCTCTCTCACCCCCTCAGGCACTTCTTTTACTAGTCTGGTGTGATTCAAAGGGGAAATTTAACCAGTAGAGCCCAATGCCTTCTGCTTTTTGGAAGTGAGCCTGCCTTCACTGGTCCTCGGAAACTGCCTGTGTGAGGCCTGCCCTCCCCAGTCTTGCCTGTGACCAGGCCCTCAGATCTGACTCATTCCGGGATTCAGTTCTGAAAAGCCCATTTGCTCACAGATAAAGCCACATTCTTTCTTTACAAGCCTCTATCAGTGAGGAAGATGATATTTTGTCTTTCGTATGCCTATTTCTTTGTCTTATTTCTCAATTGGTGTAGAACTCAGTGGGGAAGAGAGGTCCTATTTATTAAGCCTGTTCAGTCATACACACACATACACATCCTGGCATATAACACGCTCAAGGAAAACTTTATTAAGTATGTAGACTATTCTTCCTTTCAGGGTAAATATTCAAACTTCTCTAAATTTTTTAGAATGTATCCCCTCTTTTTAACTGCTAGATACTTCCTTTTTACCAAGTGTAAGCCGTTTACACCCAGAAATAGAATGGGCTTCATGGTCTGGGGAGAAGGTGTTTTTTTCTACCTTCATATATCCTCGCCTGGCTTCCTGCTTTGCTTCGTCATTTGTTCTGCAGCTGTGTTACAGTGAAGCTGGATAAACAGCCAGTCGAAGTAGCCAAGGATTAAAATATCCATGGAAATAGACTAATAGAAAAGAAAGACAAACACAGTGTTTTAGGAGAAAAATCTATACACAGAGATGGAATTTTTCATAGTGTGGAGGAGATGTTTGCGAGGTTATAGTAACCTAAATCTGTGAATGGTCTACTTAAAAAATATAAGATGTTTTTCCCCAGAAGTTTTCTTGTATAGAATAAGGACACATTAACAAAACAGAATTTAATGATATTTTCGAAATGAGAAATAATTACTCTTATCTGGATTGAAAAATTGACCTACAGGCTATGCCAGTTACAACTGTGCCAAGTGTAATGTAGTCTTATTCAACTTCACAGTCGCTCAATTTCAAGTTCTCATTACCTCTCACCCAGATGAGTACAGTAACTTCCTAACTGGCCTCCAACTATTCATTCTTACTTCAAGTCATCATTCTCACAACTGTGACATCAATTTTTATTCAGTATTATTTTGCATTAGTTTCAGGGGTACAGCATAGAATGTAGACAGTCATATATTTTACAAAGTGTTTGTGACACCAGTTTTCACCACAGCTCTCCTCCTATCTCCTGCTTTTAAAATTATTAGCGGCTCACTGTTGCCACATGAAGGGCATTGTAGTCAGCAAATGGCCTTTGTTCATGTAGCTTTATTCTCATCACTTTGAGTTGCCATTCAGTTTCTGCTTGTGATTTGTTGAATGAGGAGTCCAAAGCCAGAAAATCTTAACAGAAATTCTTATTGATTCACACATGTACAAACTTTTCTTATAAGGAAAAAAAGTGTATTTTTAAATTTTTATTCGAATTTCTTTTTCTTTTACTATCATTTACATGTGTTTAATGTAATGGGGTAGGTTCTTTGATTAGCTTTATGTGTGCTCTGCCTACATTAGCTGGTAGCAATTAGATACGTTCTCTCAGACATGTTGTACAGTCTACATAAATTACAAAGAAAAAATTAATATTCTCAGTACTCTTGGCCATGAGAAAACATCACCAAGTACTTTTTGTTTTATTTCTTAGGGTCCTGTTTTTACTGTTTCATTTTCAAAAGGTGGAGAGCTATTTTCATCAGGAGGCGCAGATGCACAGGTCTGTAAGCTCCCTCTGCTTAATTTAGGGGAAAAGCATCCGAGACTTCAGGGGAGATTTTTACAGCCACCTAGTTTGTATCTGTTAAGATGAGTCTTAATGAGTTTACATTTTAACTTAACGCCAGGAAGTCTGTTATTTCCTACCCGAATTGTGCCAGTTCTGATCATTTTTGGAACTCAAACAGCAGTTACTTGTTTTGCTTGTCTTTACACTTACATGTACATGTAACTGACACTTACTGTACGTCCAGTATTGGTGCGGCACTCTCACTTGAACTGTTGCCCAATATTTTGTATGTCTTATGTTTCAAATGTTAAGGTTCTTGAGGATAGTAAATGTGAATTGTTTATGTGTCAATTTTTTATTTACTTGAAATAGCCAAAAGTCATTGATAACCAGATTTATTCAAGGTGGAAAACATGGTTTTGGGCTTTGGGGAAAAATGGGGATTTCAAGGTAATAAGTTATTTTCTTAATATGACTTCTAAATTGGACAAGAAGGCAATTCAAAAGACTAAGTAAGTCTCTCCTTTCCACCCTTAAAAAAGTATTGAGAAACAGTAATGTTGTTGAAATGTATATCTAGTCTTCCTATTTTGAGGAACAATTCTGTATATTCATTTTTTAAAAAGTCAGTTCTATTGCTTGTATATACAAGTCAGTAATTGTATTAATCACATTAAAAATTAATGTGATTACTTTTTAACAGGTTTTATTATGGAAGACCAACTTTGATGAACTGAATTGCAAAGACGTTATTAAAAGAAATCTCAAAAGATTACATCTTGATTCACCACCACATCTTTTAGACATCCATCCAAGAATACCACATTCCCATGAGGAAAAAATTGAGACTGTTGAAGTGAGTACTTTGTACATAGTTGTCCTACTATTTGTAAGTGTACATTTTGGGGCTACTGGTCAACTAGATGCTTCAAATTGCACTTAATTATATGAAACCTAGTTCTGCCTTAAAACAGTAGCGCTTTGAGAAATAACTATTTTCACTAATGAAACTTTAACTATGGTAGTGTGTAATAGTTCTAAAGCCTGTTATATTTTCTTCTTGAGGCTTAGGAAAAAAATTGTGTTAATAGTAGTGGAATTGAGGAGAGATCTAAGGTCTTTGGTGACTGTGAAGTCTGAGCAAGCTTCAGACTCTGACGTGTTTAGGAAGTACTGAATTTTTCAGACTATACTATAGAATGCACCGGATCATAAGATGCACCTAGGTTTTAGAGGAAGAAAATAGGAAAAAAATTTTTAAAGCAAAAAATGTGGTAAAATATTTAATAACATAAATAACATAGGCTGCCATGCCCCTTTTCATAGTGAGCCAGGTAAGCTACATTCGGATGATAAGACTCACCCCCCTTTTCCTCCCAAATCGAGGGGTGCATCTTATAGTCCAAAAAATATGGTAAGTTCATGTGCTAGCTGTCATGGAAACAGGGCCGAAGGGAAAGCACTTTCATAAGTTCTTGAAATAAGGTTTTTGGAGTCCTTTAATAGCAAAGAAGAAAATCTTGTGTACAATAAGATTTGGGCATTGAACCTAATCATTGAGACCATTTTACTGTTTGCTTACATGCATTTTGAAGTACATAATTATCTGTTTAACTGTAGCCTTTTGTTGATAAGTTTCTTTAGGTCCTATAGATTTAAATGTTCTACTTTCTTTAAAAAAAAAAAAAAAACTTCGCTGTATACTTTGCATTTTGCATGACTCTCCTTAATCCCTTTCCTCTTTCAAGAGTTAATATGAAGTCAGTATTTCCTTCCAGTTCATATGAATATTTTTAACCATTGACAGAGCCTTTCTGTGCTTGTAGAGTAGGTACTTTGAGTCCCCAAGGCTTATTCCTGAGTGGCAGTGCACAGCTGCCTCACGCAGTGTCCACGCTGTGTCCCATGCCCTGTCCGCGGTCTCTGTCAGCCCCACTCCAACCCCACAGCAGTCATTTCTGTACTGTCACTTTCCTCAGACTTGGGCTTGCTGTGATCTCGGGCATTTCTGTTAGTCTTAGTGTGTGTGTGTGTGTGTGTGTGTGTGTGTGTGTGTGTGTAAGTTTAAGTTTTTAAAACTTTTAAATTTTGTTGGACTATTTCCTATATTTTGTTTAATCTAGCCACATTTTGGCATTTCTAGTCTAGTTGTTCCTTGGTAATGTAACCTCCCTTCTTATTTCTTTGCAAAAATAAAGAATGCAGTGTAATTTGTTTGTGGTTCATCACATATGTGTTTTATTTTCTACAATGATAGGTGTATTTTTTGATCTCCTGTGATCACATGTATTCACCTATATTTGAACTACATTTTGAGTTTCCTTTCCTTGTTTAGCCCCAAGCTGGTTTTACCAACTTTCTCAGTGTTTTTCGTTCTAGTATTACTGTGGGGTGGCCAAGCGTAACCATCGGTGCTGTTGCTGCTCCGCCATCTGCTCAGCCACCTTTCTGCAGGGACAGGAGGCCAAGCTGCAGTTCAGGCCGTCTTCTCTGTGGCGTATTGTCAGCCCCAGCCCATTTAAGAGTGCTGAATTTCTTTTTTTTTTTTTTTAATTTAAATTTTATTTAGTTACTTTTCAAGTACATTTTTTTTTCTACTTCTCCCCCCCCCCCCGGTCTCCCCCTCCCTCCCATTCCCCCCCCCCCCCCAGTGCTCATCCCTGTGTCTTTCATACTTGTTCCTCAAAATCCCTCCCCTTTTTCCCCTTAAATTCCCTTCCCTCTCCCCTCTGGTCGCTGCCCACTTGTTCTCTATTTCAGTGTCAAGAGTGCTGAATTTCTTTAAAACATCAACAAGTTGTCCAGGTAGCTCTGTTCGGACCGCAGCCAGAAAGCAGTGAGCTGGGACTGCCGCTGGGGCTGTGTCAGGGTGACCCAGGCCAGGCAAAGTGCATTCCCAACTGTGTTTTCCATATATACCCTTAAAAACGCCTGTTAAAAATGGACTTCTCATCTTGAAATTAGAGCTCAGTTACACTGTACAAAGTGGTGAGCACTGTGGCGGCATTAAGTTTGTGGCTTCAGAAAGTCAGCCCGAGTGGACCTAGTTTAAATGACCTGTAAGCACTCCTGGTCACTTACGTAAGTACACAGTGGGTGTGTTTGTAAAATACCTTCATATCCTATCATATAAAATTCCAGAGAAGTGATAGGATTCTGCATATAAACATCCAGTTGTTTAATTTATTTTTCTTAATAATTTCTCATAATAAAGTAAGTTTTCTGGACAAAACATATTTGATATTATAAATAAATAATTATTAACTATCAAATTATTTTGTAAAACTTTAAATACCACCTAGAATATAATAGTATAAATCAGACTGTTGTACTGTGTTTTCATTTAGATTAAGTAAACTTTACTTTGAAATACTAAATTTTGTAAATTGGATTATTTTTCAAAGCTTTAGGCAGAATCACCTTACATATATTACTTTGGAGATGTTTGAAAATTACCAAAAAATTATTTTGAAGTTGGAATTCATGATTAAAAGGAAACAAATGTATTAGGAGAAGATGTGGAATAAATGGTATCTATGACCTAGTTAATTTTACTAACTTTCTCTTTTTGTAGTAACTATGAGTGTTTCATTTCTGAGTTTGAAGCAACATAGCATTTCTGTGATTTGTATTTAATTGTGCTTTCTGTGAAGCTCATTTGAATTGTGTAATTTCAGTCTTCTGGGTGAGATTGGCCTTTTGCAAAAGTCACCCATCTGCCAGCCTTAAGTGCTCCACTTGTTTGAAGGTGGGAAATCCTGTGGAGCCTTAGACCTGGGCTACCAGCTGACTAAATATATAAATTACTCCTTCCTACATGGGCAGACAGGGTGACAGCAAGTTGCTTTTACAACAGATGACAGAAGAAAGTCACATGAAAAAGGTACAAAGCAGAAAATTCTCCCCCAGCTGTGTGAAAGAGACCCCTCCTGTGTCCTTTCTCTTGACGCCACTACAGACCCCTGCCCTGAATTGTTGAAAACTATAAGTGATTAATGTAAGTCTTCAAGTCTGAGATTGGGTTTTATCTCAATCTTCTTCTATAAAGATTGAAAATATTATAGTTTATGATAAAAATGACCACTTATCCACGAATTTTGTATTTTTGTTCTGGGTGTGGTGTATGACTATACTATTTTGGGCCTCAGTAATTGTTCTTCAGAGATTACATGGTGATAATAGTACTAATAATACTGTCTAACACATACAACATTATTTTAATTACTTTACATAAGTTAAGTCATTTAATCTTTCTAAAAACTCTGAGGTAGTACCATTTTTATCCTGTAAGAAACTGAGCACCTACAGTTAAATCATAGAGCTAGTAAGTGGGAGCACCAGAATTTCATCCCAGGCACTCTGGTTCTGTTCGGTACTTTTAACCATTTTCATGTAATGCTTCAGTATAATCAAAATTAAATTTCATCCTGTTAACATATTAAGTGTCTACGTGCTGGACATTGCACTAGCTTTAGGGTATGTAACACAACAAAAGGGGCAGATTCCTTGCCCTTCAGAATTTGTTAGTAGCACTGTTTGTGTTCATGGACTCCTAAGTGTGATGGATGCAGAGAACCTCAGAGTGGGGTGGTTCCTGTGAGGTCACACAGACTAAACTCTCCCTCATGCATGAATCCCTCAATTATACGCCCTCTTCAGTGATGGAGAACTCAGCCTCTCATAAGGCAGCCCACTTCATTTTGAGGCAACTAATTATTAAAGGTTTCTTCTCTTTAATAAGAACAGGAAGCTAGCAGGTACTGTTAGTATTTCTGGAAGTTAACCAGCAAAGAACTTAACTATGCCACTCCTGCCCCCATCCCCAGCATATTTTCTTTATGGAGGGGCTGTAAACTTTTACTCAGTAAGAATTTCCTGCTCTCTTTAATGTATGTAAGAGCAGCTTGTGCCAAAACACATACTAGGGTTATGGGTTCTGTCCCAGGGCGGGGCACATGCGAGAGGCAACTGACCAATGTTTCTGTCTTATATCAGTGTTTTTCTCCCTTTCTTTTTCCCTCCCCTTCCTTTTCTCTAAAACTAAATTAAATAGTCTTTAAAAAGATAAAAATATGAACAGTAAAGTAACAACAAACTATCAACTATCAACAACCAAACTTAAAAAAAAAAACTAAGCAAACAAGTAGAACAGGAACAGATTCACAGAAATAGAGATCACATGGAGGGTTATCAGTGGAAAGGGGGGGAGGGAGGAGAGTGGAGGAAAGGGTACAGGGAATAGGAAGCATAAATGGGAGGTACAAAATAGACAGGGGGGGTTAAGAATATATGGGAAATGGAGAAGCCAAAGAACTTATATATATGACCCATGGACATGAACTAAGGTGGGGGAATGCAGGTGGGAGGGGGTACAGGGCAGAGGGGAATAAAGGGAAGAAGAAAAATAGGACAACGGTAATAGCATAATCGACAAAATATATATATTTTTAAAAGTACTGTTACAGCAACAGTTTCCCAACTTGTAGAAGCTCAAGAATTTTTCAGTGAGAGATGCTGACCATTTATTTCCATGTTATTTAGATTTTTGAGCAGTTCCAATTTCAGGTGGTAAAACCAGATGGTATTTTTCATAGGTAAACAATTCCAGATCTACACTAGGTGGCAGTAGATAAAAGAGAAAAGGAAGTAAAATGTTTGCAAGTCACCTCTTCGGGCAGCTGGTCTCAGATTGAAAGGAAAATTGTAATCCTCAGGATTCTTTGCCTTGTCTCTGGCCTCAGCTCATAGGATGGGACTGTGTGTTCCATTCTGTGGAACAGCCAGGAAGGAACATGGGTATTAACAGGCTGAGAGGATAGCCCTCCCCCCTTCTCACCTTGCAGGTTCTAATCTCTCTACTGTAGCCTGGGGTTTAATGGGCATGTATACTTCTGCCTCTAACACAGTTGGCTGGATAATTATAAACGAGTCTTATTATTGCCAGAATTACAGCTATGCCCATCAAGCATGATAGGTGCTTTTAAAATCATTCCACTTCCCTAACGTCAGGCTCAGCCTTTATCCCCACAGCCCAGGACTGTTACAGCCCTGCCCTCACTGTTATCCCTGCTTTATTCTTGATACTGTATGTGTCTCTGTCCCATTATCTGTTGAAAGCACATGTTAGCCCCCAGTTTTTCTGTGCCTTCTCAAATCCCTTTACGCTTCACGGTTTGACCCTTGCCAACCCCCCTTCTGCTATCCCTTGCAAGTCCTGTCAGCATTCACCTCTCTGCTCAGAATGCTTTTTACCTACCTCATCTCCGAGTCTTGTTTTTGTTTTCGAAACCTTCTTTAAAAGCCATCTTTAATTCTGTTTCCTCCAACGGAAGGCTTTCTCCCTAGATGTTCAGTCAACATTTTCTTCCTTGCAGTTCTTCAGTGCACTTACTGTTGGTATCATTCATTTCATACAAGTTCTGCTATCTTTTTGTCCTTTGCTCACTTCTTCGTATTCACAGTGTTTAGTAAATATTTGGTGATGGTATGGTTTATTCTTTTTCTTTGCCTTCTTGAATTCAGAAATAGCCTTCCAGAAGTAGTTGCCACTCTAATTATTCCTTTGCCTTTAAAAAACATTACTCTATATGGCCCTGGCTGGTGTGGCTCAGTGGGTTGAGCATGTGGCTCAGTGGGAAAGCAGTGTTGGTTTGACTCCCAGTCAGGGCACATGCCTGGGTTGCAGACCAGGTCCCCAGTGGGGGGTGCGCCAGAGGCAATCACACACTGATGTTTCACTCACTCTTTCTCCCTCCCTTCCTCTCTCTCTAAATATAAATACATAAATAAAATCTTTTTAAAAATGTACTATATATGTTTGAATCTATAATTAGGTATTATTTAGTTTTTGAATGCTTTAAACTTTATATAAATGAAATAATACTGAATATATCTTTCCGTAACTGGCTTTTTCATTTAACATTAAAGTCCTGAAATTTGTGTATATGCGGCGCTAAAGTTATGCATTCGTATGTTGTTGCACAGAGTTGTATTTCATTCTTTTCATTGTTGAATCGGATGAATTTACCACAGCAGTAACTCCTACAATGTATGTATTCACTCTACTGTTGATAAATATTTGAGGAGTTCTGGTTGTGAGATTTATTTATTTATTTATTTATTTATTTATGTAGCCATTATAAACCATGCTGATATAAACAATGTTGGCATCACTGAGCTTTCTAATGTTTGCAATTTAGTGTGTATGAGGTGGTATTTTACTCTAATCCTTTCTATTTACTAATGTTTTAAAAATCTCATTATATGCTGATTAACTGTCAGAGTCTCTACATCTTTTTTCTTGGGATTTCTTTTTCACGTTGATTTGTTGGGTTTTCTTATGCATTTTAGATATCTGTCCTTTTTTAGTTTTAGATTTCATGCCTCCTCCTATTCCATCATCTGATCATTAACTCTGTGGTGTTCATTGTTAAATAGAAATTCTTATTTTGATAGAATCAAATGCATGTTTCCTTATGGTTTTGTTTTTAAAATGTTTGTTTAAGATATCCTCAAACCTGGGTCACAAAGATGTTTTTATACATTTATTAACTTTATAACTTTATTAACTTTATAATTTTAACATAACATTTAGGTTTCTAGTTTGTCTGCTCTCCATTGTTGAATGCAGTATATTAGTCAGGGATCTATGGAGTGGTCCAGTTTTCTCAACTATAAATAAACCATCTTTTCCTTCATTTGAAGTACTGTTTTCCCTTTATATTTATTTTCCACATATACGGGACTCTGCATCGAAGCTCCTTATGTTACAGGTTTTTATTTAATGTCTTTACGTGAGTTTTACTATTTTGTCCCGTACAGGCCATACCTATCCTTGTATTCTGAGACATTTAAATTTTTTTATGGTATTATAAATGATAGGGTTTTTAATTTACTTTTCTAACTGTCTTGAAGTACAGACATATTCAATTAATTTTGTATTTTGAGTTTCAACCTAGTAAACTCTTACTAGCTAGCTCCAATGATGTAGCAGTAGATGCTTTGAGGGTTTTTCCATAGAAAGTTATATTATATGTAATGACAGTTTCATTTCTTTTGTTCTAATTCTTAAATCTTAATACCTTTTTTTTCCTGTGTTAACAAACTAGCTAGGACTTTTTTCTGCATCTTTTGAGGTGGGTCGTTTTACTTTGGTTTTAAAATCCCATTATAGGTGAATTATATTCATTTTCTAATGTAAAACTTTTTATTTCCACAATAAATTTAACTTGGTCTTATACTTTGATAGATTTGGTGGCCTAATTTTGTTTAAAATTTTTACATTCATGTTATTAAATATACCAATATAATTTAACTTTAGAATATATTAGAAAAAACCCTTTAAGTTTTACAAATGGCATCCAGCTTCTTATGCTATAAAGATCTAAGATTAATTTTCCTTATGCGTATGTGCAGATTAATCCAAAACTTGAGGTAATGGACCTGCAGACCTCTACGCCCCCTGTCGTGGACATCCTTTCTTTTGATTCTACCACGGTAAGTTTTCTTTGACTTGAAGTGCTATTTAATTTTCCATCACAATCCATTTTCCTTAAAAAGTGTGAGGGACACGAGGTCAAAAGTGGGCTAAATAGCCTAACATTTCTGCATAGAAAAAACCTTGTATAAGATCATATTTACAATGTGGCTAAATAGTCACAAGGGGGAGCAGCACAATCTCTGGAAATTGTGCCTTCACTTTGAGGACCTGGAGCTCAGTCTAATCCACGCTCACTGCTTCTTCTCCCAGTGCCACCCAGGTGACATCTCACTTGCTGTCACAGAACAGATTTTTTTCTTTGTTCATTGCCTGTCAGAGGTGTTAAACATACTTGTGGTTTTCTCCTTAAAAGCAGTTGTTTCCCTTTGTTAATCCCTCCTGGTGGATTATGCAGGCATTCAGAAATACTTGCAGTCTTGTTTGTAAAAATTCCATGCAGGTAATTTATTTACTCAGCACATCCAGCATCTTCAAAAATTAGAATCTCAGCCTTTCAATCTGAATCCATTAACCTTTGCAAAACAGGTCATTGTTGCCTTCCATCCTGCTAATCAGTGCAGCTGGTCCTAGGATGAATGAGAGGAGTGTGTGGTCTGCGGTGACACCGCTGTGACCGTGTCACTGCAGAAAGGCATGCTGCTCATGTTCACAAATTGTGGAGAGTCAGGTTTGGCCCTTGGCAGTGAGAGGAGCAAAAACTAGGTGTTTTGAGATGTGCTGCCTTCTTAGGAGGCAGTTGTAGGTTAAAATAGGGTGTTCCTGACCTCCGAGGTACCACACATCTTCAAACACCTTGGGTCCACACTTTGAGACTGACTCTTCCTGCCCAGGACCTTCAAGCTTTGCAAAGCTTCGTGACCTGAGGAGTCCAGATGTTCTCAACAGGCTGTGTGCAGTGGAGGTAGCTAACTGTCACCTAGCCATTGATAGCAGGGGTGTCCAGCTTTGGATGGTAATCCAGAGGTGCCAGAGTCAGCTAGTCTGTTAGAGCAAGCTAACTCAGGAATATAGTATATGTGGGACCTCTAGAAGACAATTCTGTATAATAAACTCACGACAGGTTTGCAGTTGTGATACAAAACAGAGTAAGACTGAAGAGCATAATTATTATCCATATAAGGATAATATTAAGTTAAATTATATAAAATTGCCATTTTGTAGGTAAAATGGTCTAACATCAGGATTTCCCATGGTTCAACCCAGTACATAAGCATTAAAAGGAAGACTCCACTGTTACATTGAATTGTGTGCTTGATCTACATAAAAATAAAACAAACAAACAAAAAACAGGAAAGCACAGGAGGACAAAAATTTGTTTGCTATAAACTAGTTTGGGATTAGTCTTACAAAGTCTTATCTAGGTAGATTGTTTTATAACCTGGAAGATCACTGCCTCCAGGCAAGGTATGTAGACTCCTGATTTTAGATATTTTACTAGGGCATTTTCTGAAGGAGTGGATGCTCATAAAGCATTTAGACTTTTATAAAGACTCTCTTTAGAATTCCAGTCAAGATGGAGGCATGGGTAAACCCAGCTCCACTCCTCGCACAACCACATCGAAGCTACAGCTAAACTATAAGACACTCATCACTTAGAACTCTCAGAAATCAAGTCGAATGGAAGTCTGACAGAATTAAAGAGACCTCATCCATCCAGACTGGTAAGAGAGACAGAGAAGCAGAACTGCCTGGTCCCACATCCATGATAAAAATTTGGGAGGGATATCTTGGGAATGAGGAGTCCCAGCCCAACACCAAGCTCCCCAGCCCAGGGTTACATTGCCAGGATGAAAAGTTCCCATAACTTTTTGCTGCAAAAACCAGTGGGGATTGAGTCGGTAAAAGAAACTTCTGGAGTCCCAAGCAGTTTCTTTTATTTACTTCTTTTTTTTAATTAATTTATTTTTTTATTGATTATGCCATTACAGTTGTTCTATTCCCCCCTTCATTCCCCTCCACCCTACCCCCCCCCGTCCCCACCATTACCCCCCCCTTTAGTTTATGACCATGTGTCTCAAGTTCTTTAGATTCTATATTTCCCATACTATTCTTGCCCCCCATCTATTTTCTATCTACTGTCTATGCTACTTATTTTCTGTACCTTCTCCCCCCTTCTCCTCCTCCCACTCCCCTGTTGCTAACCCTCCTTGAGATCTTCATTTCTATGTTTCCACTTCTGATCTAGCTGTCCTTTTAGTTTGCTCTTGTTTTAGGTGTGGTTGTTAATAACTGTGAGTTTGCTGTCCTTTCACTGTTCATGTTTTTTTAACTTCTTTTTCTTAGATAAGTCCCTTTAACATTTCGTATAATAAGGGCTTGGTGATGATGAACTCCTTGAATTTGATCTTATCTGAGAAGCACTCTATCTGTCCTTCCATTCTAAATGAAAGTTTTGCTGGATAGAGCAACTTCTCAAAAGAGACCTTACAGGCAAGAAGGGGCTGGAAAGAGGTATTCCAAGTCATGAAATCCAAAGACCTACAACCAAGCAGTTTCTTTTAAAGAACCCACACACAGATTTACTCAGACTTAACTGCCTCTGAGCTCCAGTACCAGGATAACAGCTTGAAAGTCACCAGTGGCATACAGGAAGAACTAACATGTCTGGTATCAAGGAGCGAAAAGGGGGACAGCTGTCTCCCAGAAAAGCAGGCAGAGGCCATTGTCCCTTTTCTGAACCATCCTCCCACAGAGCCACAGAATTGGCAGGCAGGTGCCATATCTGAGACTCCATCAACCTGGCTAAAAATATTTGCCTTAGGGATCATCTAAGGCGTTTTCCCACCCAACTTACAGACCAAACCAAGCTGTTAACAATGGCTTTTCCATATGAATGGCTAGTCCTGGCTCATGCTTCACAACTTCCTAAATCCTCTGAAACAATCAACAGCTGCCTCAGTGAGCCCCCAACCCTTGTACCTCTTGCTAAGTGGCCCGAGGCCTGGCACTAGAAGCAGCCAGCTTAGGTTCACAGCTTGTTTTCACCTGGGAACCTCCAAGCCCAGCACAAGTAGCAGCCATCTCAGATTGCTTTATAGTTCATGCATTGTGGCCCCGGGTAGAACACTGGTGGGCTGACCTTGGCCTGCAACACCCAGGAAACTCCAGTGTTGCATACCTAGTGCATAGCCACAGACCACGTCAGAGCACCACCATCCTTCCCCTGCATAGCTGATCCTCCACAGACGGTGGAAGCTGGCAGTAAGTGGTCAAAGCCAATCCTTGCAACTTACTGACCTAGGTAAATCCCTCCCATTGACCTGCCAACAGCAACCAAGGCTCAACTAAAGAGGAAGGTGTATTCAGCCTACAGAAAAGGCATGTCTTGAGTGCCCAGCTTGGGTGATCTACTACATCTACTACAGGACTTCTACTACATTAGGCCATGCTGCCAAGACCTGGAGTCACAGCAGCTCTGCCTAATACATAGACACAAATACAGGAGGCTGCCAAAATGAGGAGACAAAGAAACATGGCCCAAATGAAAGAACAAATCAAAACTCTAAGTAAAGAGCTAAATGAAATGGAAATAAGCAATCTGTCAGATGCAGAGTTCAAAACACTGGTTATAAGGATGCTCAAGGAACTTAGGGAGGATCTCAGCAGCATAAAAAACACCCAGTTGGAAATGAAGGATACACTAATTAAAAGGAAGAACAATTTACAGGGAAACAACAGTATAGTAGATGAAGCTAAGAATCAAATCAATGACTTGGAACATAAGGAAACAAAAAACAATCTTGCAGAACAAGAAGGAAAAATTTTTTTAAATGAAGATAGTATAAACAGCCTCTGGGATTACTTTAAGAGGTCCAACATTTGCATCATAGGGGTGCCAGAAGGAGAAGAGAATGAGCAAGAAATTTAAAATCTATCTGGAAAAACAGCGAGAGAAAACTTGCTTAATTTGGTGAAGGAAATATACAAGTCCAGGAAGTGCAGAGAGTCCCACTCCAAAACACATCATTATTAAAGGGCAGAGATTAAAGATAGAGTCTTAAAAGCAAGAGAAAAGAAGTTAGTTACTGAAAGGTTGCCAGTTGGGAGGGGAGAAGGGGAGAGTGGGTGAAGAGGTGAGGGGATTTGTAAGAAGTATAGGTAGATAGTTACAGAATAGCCATGGGAATGTAAAGTACAGTATAGGAAATGGAGTAGCCAAAGAACATATACACACAACCCATGGACATGAACAGTATTGTGGGGATTGCCTAAGGGAGAGTGGGGCTCTGAGCCGGAGGGCAAAAGGGGGAAAAATTGGGACAACTGTAATAAAATATAATTTTTTAAAAAAAGGAGTGTCTTTAGGTCTGACCAATATGGCTCAGTCAGTTGGAATCTCTCACAAAACAAAAGGTGGCTGGTTCTGTTCCCAGTCAGGACACATGCCTGTGTTGTGGGTTCTGTCCCCCAAGGTTTCAGGTAGTGTCCCTGGTCAGGGTGGATGTAAGAAGCAACTTACTGATGTTTCTCTGTCGCATCAATGTCATCATCTCTTTCTCCTTTCCTTCCTCTTTCTCTAAAAATAAATGAATTCTTAAAAAGAAAATAAGTTTTGAGTGCTTTTTAAATTTTTTTCTTTTATTTTTTCTTTCTTGATTTTTTTACTTTTTTCTTCTCCTTCTCTCCCACCTTCTCCCCTTTGGCAACCATCAGCTTGTTCCTTATATCTGTGGGTTGGTTTCTGTTTTGTTTTGTTTATTCATTACTTTGTGTCCTTTAGATTCCACATATTATAAGTGATACCATGTAGAGTACCTATCTTTCTGTATTTCACTTATTTCACTTAGCATAACACCTTCTCGATCCATCCATGTTGTCACAATGGCAAGATTTTATTCTTTTTCATTACTGAATAATATTCATGTGTGTGTGTGTGTATGTATACCAAATCTTACTTTTTAATTAATTTATTGATAGACATCTGCATTGCTTCTATGTTTTGGCTATTACTAGTAATGCTAAAGTAAACAAATCATAGCAGTGCATTAAAGTTTTT